TCAAAATCTGACCGGTAACTTTGTTCTTTATAATAAGTTCTACAAAGTTACCGGTCAGATTTTGAAAATTTGCCTCTGTGTTGCGTAGTAGCCTTTCAAAATTGAAACATATGGTCGATTGATTTAAGAGTTCCTGCACCATAGCAACGGCAGCTTGTGAGATCGCAGGTGCGATTTTCTTGAATCAATTTCAGCAATAATTCTATTGATAATTTAGTCACTCATCTATATAGAGCGAGTAAAGAGCACCTATTTTTGTATGCTTGCACGAAACAACTAATAAAAGACTCTCATGTCTATCAATGTGAACAGCCAATCAAATCAATCAAAATCACGCAAATATGAATCGTGATTGAAAATATTCACGTAAGCTGGTTTAGTTTTACGAAGGAACAGTGCAAGATCACGTGGCCTTCAAAAATCCAAGCGCACGTGAGCACGGAAAATTGACGTTAAGACATTTTTTAATAGTACTTCAAGCTAGATTTTACATGTTCTTGTGTCAAAAACCACGTGATTTAGCATTGTTTCACTGATAGAAGAATGGATCGGATAGATGCACGTGATGTTGCATGTACGAACTCGTAAAAAATAAATATAATAATTATGAATATTACAAAGTAAATAATATAATAATAATATATTTATATTAATTTTTCTTTGTCAAATCTATGATAATACTGTATTCTAGATTTTCTTTTTGTAAATATTTATATTCTTTTATAGTTTTCTTTTCAAAACAGATAATTCTTGTCAAAAACAGATTTTTTATATCTTGTTTTGTTCAGAGTATAGATTTTCTAGCCATTTATGATAAGAGAAACAAATACATTTAATTTGAATTTCATGACTATGAAGTGTTGATTTTTAAGGATGTAAGCAAAAATAATTAATGAGTTTCAGTTCAATGATGCATTATCAGAAAGAAATGTAAATGAAATATATTTGCTAAAATAATAAACAAGTTGTTGAAAAGTATTAGTGATAATATAACCAAAAAACTGATATAATTATTCAATAATTACAAGAGCCAGCTTTTCATTATATTATAAACAATATTTTGTTATATTTTTCTTTTCCTTCTAATATAATAAGTTCTGTAATTATAAAGTTTATTACAGAGAAGTTTTTGAATATCTGGTTAATAATCTTAAAATTTTTCAATTGATATAGTAATAGTATAAAAATTGTAAATATTATCTTCAATCATATCAAGATATTTGAAAACATGTTCTTATATAAATTTGAAGATATTTGTTTTAATCTGAAAGATAAATTTATTTTATTAATATATTTTATTGCTAAAATTTTATAATATTTTTTCTTTTTTTTGTAGTTATGTTTTAATATTTACTTAGAACTAATTCTTTTTTAGTATCAAAAAAACAATTCTTTAATATTATTTCTGTAACAATTTGATAGATTCAGATAATAATATATTTATTACTTGATATAGTTTCACAATAAATTTTATTTTAATAATATTATTTAATAATTATTAAAATTTTTTCTCAGCTTTAACAAAAATATTATAAAACTCAAAATCAATAATAATAAATATCAAAAAAAGTAAAAGCTCTATAATATCAAATCTTTTAAGAAATTATTTCTTATTAATAATTGAAAGAGAAATTGGATTATCTGTTAAAATTATATATTAATAAAACAATCTATACTTAATTTTAATCAAATATTTATAAGTTTTAATATTCTTATATATAATTAATTTATTTATTATTTTTTGTAAACTTCTTTTAATATTATTAATTATTTATATTAATATATTTCTGATAAGCTTATTGAATTTAAGATTATAAAGAATAAATAGATCAATTATTACTTTATTTGAATTTATATACATTAATACTTTTAAATATTATAGATACATTATCTGAATAATTTAATAAAAGATACTTTTTAAATTATTAATTATTTTGATTGCTTATTTAAATGTGATATGAGATAATTCAGATTATCTGGTAATTAAAATTCTATATGATAGAATTATTTAATATAAGTTAAGATTCACATTTTCAAATTTTTCATCAATATCTAAATATATGATTTTATTTTTTTTAGAATTATGAGCTTTTTCTGTAACATTTTTAACTGGATTTAAAAATTACAAAATTTGTTCTTTAAATAAAGTAAATTATAAGATCTCAACTTTTTTTAAATATTTTATAATTAATTTTATTTTTATAAAATTTGCAATAATTAGTTTTAAGTTTTGCTTTAAATATGTTAAATGCACAATATTTTGTTAGATTTCAGAAATACTTTGAACAAGATATTTTTAATACTTGATCTTTATCAAATATAAAGATATTTAATAAATAATTATAAATATTATAAAGTTTGAAATGAATTATTTGCAAAAATTATATATATAATATCTCAATTTTATTTTTTATCCATGCTATTGCAATTTAATAAAATATCAAAGTTTCTTATTATTAATATTATTAATATCAATAGTACTAACAAAAAAATATTGATTTTATATATAATATCTATAATAAAAACTTCAAGACATCTAATAACATACTTGATTGCTTCAATATAAAAAAAATATATCAAATAGCTCTTTACTGTTTTTAAAAATATGATTATATAGTTATATCTCTCAAAATCTCTTAGTGAAATTAGTATTGGAATTTTTATTTAAAGCAAATCTAATATAGATATATTTATTTACAATATTCTTTGAATAAATAATTTTGTTATTGACAATCTTGTTAATAATTATTGTAATAATATGAATAAATATATTGTTATTATATAATTATTATATAAGATTTTTCTATTTCAAACTTATATTATGATACTAGAAAAAAATTGCAACTTCATTTAATTCAAGTATGAAGTAATTATATTCAAATATAATCTTTATAATAATTCATATTATTTCAATATTTAAAATATCTATAATTAAGCAGTATTTTATTATAATAACTCTAAAATATATAGAACAGTTTTTGTATCTGGTATTTTTTGGATTTTTTGGCTATATTCCAGTTGTTGCACTATTTTTCATTACTGATATAATACAAAATAACAAAAGATAATTTGTCTTCACATTCAGTAAGGTTGCTATCTTTTCTTAAAAAAGCAAACTTATTGATTTAGCAGCTAATTTAGTGACATTCTCCAAGATTTCTAAAGATTCAATCATCATTCACTTTAAGCATAATCATTGTTACTATGATTCAAAGATTTATATACTAGTTGCATATATAAAGATATATTTAAAAAATCTAAATTACGTCTAGAAGAGATTTGATATACAACATGATTTTGCGAATATTTATAATAAGTAATGTGTAATCAAATGTTTTACTAACAAAGAGCAAATATATTCATTTATTATAAAAGGATCTCAAGTAATAAATATGTATTATTATTACTAAAATAAAGTTACATTAAGCAAAAGTTAAAAAATAATCTTTTTCTTGCTTTTTTTATATACGTATATCATCTTAACCATCACATAAAATTCACACTCATTAAATAATATATCATCGATTTGATTATTAAAAATATACTGTAAGTATCTCCGAACTGAAATATTTGGACCGGTCACGTGCATCTATCCGATCCATTTGTACGTGCAATGTCACATGTTTGGTACGTGTTCGTAAATTCTCCCCCTGCTGGGCCAGTGCGGCGGGTCACGTGCAAATGTATTAACCACGTGATATAACCTGATAGTGCATTCGCAGGTTACACGCTCAATGATCCATTCGTAATGACGGCACCATAACAATGCCATGATAGCGACTTAGATGCGCCAAAAGTTAATTGAAAGAGATTTAATATATAAGAAAATGTAAAAGAATAATTAGTATTTGGACACTAAAAACAAGTCTTATAATAAATCAATCTTTATTCTCTCATTCATCTATATTAAAGCTTGTGTGATACATCAATCGATCGTTATAAATAGCATTATTATAAATTTTTCCGGCACTGACCCGGAAAAGATCACGTGATTAAGCACTCCGTAGGCCTCCCGTTAGTTTTACCCTATTGATGAAGAGTTGTTGCAATAGTAAACTTAGTTCGAGAAGAACCGTTGATTCGGATAATTGGTTCATGCGGACAATGGCGCGAAGCTACCATCCATGCATCAGTGAATTCTAAATTGTACATTGAAATGGATAAGTTGTATAACATAATCCCAAGACACAATCAGAAAAGAGGGTTTACATAATGTTAATTCACCAGATGGAAATTTAAATGATGTAATAAAAATAAGGACTTTTATAGATAATTTTAAAACATAGATAATTAAAAATAGATAGCTAGATCCCAATTAACGATAAAGCAATTCCGAATTTATAAATCCAAACTTAATTCAGGCCAAAATTTGATGGTGATGATTTGGTCACGGGTGAGTTGAATAAAAAGTGCCGATTTCTCATTTTTTATAGAACGTGTACTTCTTGGTAACTGTAACTCTTGAAATTTTCTTTGGTGCGTGGAGAGTTTACTTTTATATTGACTCTTTTTTTATATTTAACCTCTCCTCTGAAAGTTATTAACTTTTACTATAAAGAACAAGATCCTTAATAATGAGCACACAAGAAAGTATGGAAATTGACCCGCCTAGCTCTCCTCCGCCACAACCTCCTACTGTCGAAGCAGCAGATCCCACAACAACAGCTGCTGCTACCTCAACGACAACACAACAGAGTATCTCTAATAGTGATAAAACTATTGGTGGTAGTAGCAGCGAAGGAGGGGTGGTGAGTACAGTCGTGTCCACCGCGACCAATAATTCTGGGTTGACAGTTGAATTGTAGGTGTTGTTTCCATAATGAGTGAGTGTAGGATTTTGTGTCATTTAGTGTAGAGAATGTGAAATGAAATTTTGTTATTTTTGAATTTAATGGGATCGAAATGATTGATTGATTTTATGAATCGTTATCTTTATAAGACATCCGTTGACTCTCCTAAATATATCCGATCATTATACACGTATCAAAATGCAGCAGCAGATTCAGCATCCCCAGGGTATTGTATCTTTTTTTTTAGCATTCGCATAATCACTGACAAATGATTCTTTTATTTACTATATGCTAATTGAATGGGGATTCTGATCTAATTATACTATATTATATAAAATAAATAGTAATCGGTGCTCTTCTCGGTACACAAAGTGGACGCGACGTTGAAATATCCAATTCATACGAATTGTCGTTTAATATGATTGACGGACACGTTATTATCGATAAAGAGTATTTCACAACGAAACAGGAACAGTGTAAGGACATTAAAAACTCGCATTTTTTATGTCAGTTTTTTTTGCTCACGCGTTCTTTTTTTTCATCTTTAGTTCGTCAAGTCTTTCCGCAATTCGATTTCCTGGGTTGGTATACATTAGGACCATATCCTCTCCCGGATCACATCGAGATACATAAACAGGTAGAAAATTAAAATATTCCTCGCTTTTATGTTTTTTCATTTATTCTAAATTTCTATCCAAAATCAGTTACAAGAATACAACGAAAGTCCCCTATTCCTGCAAATGAATCCACAAGAAATCGTCACCTCAAAAAACCTGCCAATCACCGTTTACGAGTCAATCATCGACATTATCGACGGCCAGGCAAACATGCTCTTTATTAAAGCACAATACAAGATTGAGACGGGCGAGGCAGAACGTATTGCTGTTGATCATGTGGCACGTGCCTCGAGTGGTGACGGGGTTGAAGGGTCGTCATGTAAGAGATTTACTAAATATTTCATTCTATTATTTATGTATGGACATTATTTGATGTTTTTGATTTTTTCTAGTAATTGCGCATTTAACTACACAAGGAAATGCAATTAAAATGTTGCACACTAGAGTTAAGATGTTGCATCGATATTTGGTGGATTATAAGAAAGGTAAATTTACTTAAATTTTTTTTTTGATAAATTAGAAACTAATTTCGATTATTTATATACGTTATTCAATATTATAGGCGAATTGGAAGCTGACCATGACATACTTCGTCAAATATCCAGTTTATGTAATCGCATGCCGACATTCGAAGGATCCGAATTCCGAGAAGAATTCTTGACGGTGAGAATTATTAATTTATCCATGATTTCGAAATTAACAAATCAATGTTAAAAAAAAGACCTGTGAATAAAATAATAATTTTTTTTTCAATTTTCCAGGAATACAATGATGTTTTGCTTACATCGTACCTAGCCACCATAACAAAAGGAACAAATTCAATAAATGAGGTACATACATAAATATTAATTATGCAATCATATTCGGATTATTAAATGGTACATATGTATTTCTAAATCTTTTATTTAAAATTAACAGTTGGTAGATAAATTTAATATCGCAACACATAATCAAGGAAATAGAAATCGACGTCATCAATCATTTGGATGGTGAAACGTTGGCGGTGGACGTGGACAAACACCATCATCTCAATCTGCCGCTGCAATGGTGGTTGTTGAGCTTATCATGTACTTTGTTTTAAGGTGCTATTATTCCTGGAAAGTACTGACGACAGAGATCATAATCACAAAATTTCAAAGTTACTGTAATACTAAAACACAATAGATATTATTATTCAGAATTAAATATGAATGGGATCAATTGTTTTATTTGATGACAAATATTCACACTAAATGGCTGTCTTTATTGCAAGTAACAAGATATTGCACTAATATGTATCGCAAACAAAAAATTAACATGGGACTTTTAAATAAGTGTTTTTAACCATAATTAATTGTCGGAACCTTCATTTATTTCGTTATATTTAATTAGCACAAGTATGAAAAAAAATACCAGGAACTTACTGAATTCATTGTGCTGGCCTAATGAATCGTTTATTAAGATGAGAATACATGTCAGATGCCCAGTTAAAAACATCCCATTCATCAGGTCCTCCGAATGCTGTCGCGTACAAGATTCGATCCAAAAGAGAACCGGTTATTGGTTCATACCATTCTCTAATTGGATCAAAGTCACGATAATTATCTTCGTACAGAGCACCTATCAAAGCTTCCACATAATCGGCAGTATCTTTGGTGGTGAATCTTTTTGGACCTCCAGCTTCCTTAATCGCATATGTCTTAACGTCCAGAATATGCCCTACCACTGCCAGAGTTTTGTTATTGACAAAGAAGTTGATTGCAACTTCGATCTTTTTCATGATTTGTTCTTCAAATTTACATAAAACGGGATGCTTCTCAGCTCTGTCAAAGGCCATCTGATTTGCTACGTGTTGAAGTACACGGTCTCCAAGATGTTCTAGACGCTCATAGTTACAACCAACAGTGCTATTCACAGTGTGATGGGTTAGTGCTGCTTTTTTGAGATGGAGATTTTTGAACTTTGGCAAAGTGGGATAATGATCTATGCATATATACATGAAATTAATTGGTTAATAATAAGAATATTGAAGCAAAATAATAACATTTGATGGTTTACCTATTTTAACTCCAGGCAAAGGCATAATATTCTTAATAACGACCTTTGGTCTTATGAGTGTCATGCTTCGTAAATGCATACTATGCTCACGATTATACTGAGCCGCTACTTCATTATTATAATTATGATTATTATGATTATTATGATTATTATGATTATTATGATTATTATGATTATTATGATTATTATTATTATTATTATTATTATTATTGTTATCTTCTTCATCGTCAGAAATCTCGATTATTTCAATTTCACCAGGTCCTTGTAGTTCATCTTCATCATCAGAAATTTCAATAATTTCGATTCTATCATTCTTCTGACCCTTCAAACTTTCATATGTCCGTTGAAAATTCGAAAAACTTTGTAACACATCACTACTCAGTGCCAAATCATTATTCATATTTCGCGAAATTAACATGTTAAATTCTTCCAAAAAAGCTCGTGTCTTAGAATTTGGCGAAATTTGTTGAGGTGAGTCATGAGAAGAGAACGGCGAGAATATAGAATTTCGGTCGTTTGTTAATTCAGAAGTGGCGTTGTTCTCAACAACATTAAAGCCTGTAAATTGTCCTTCATATTGTCCTTCGTTGTGATTTATTTTTAATTCCACAACTGCATGGCCTACTGCTGGACAATAGAGTTGTCCATTATATCTGTAGTGTACTGGTACCTCTGTTGTAGTCTCCATCGAATATTGATCAATCTGGTCGGTAAAGGAAAAGATAAAAGTTGACAAGGATATGTATGCTTCGTTCAATTCTCATTTATACTGTTATTACCTTCATTAAAATACAGCAAAATTATCGATTGCGTGACGCTGGGGTATTCTAGTACCCTAGCCACGGCGAAAAAAAGTGTCGGTCACGTGATGAAGACAAGAGCTATTAAAATATCCGATTTATATTAAAGATCAAGTACAGTGGGCGCTCGATACAATAACGTGATCAGGGGAAGAGATTTGGTGTTATTATATCGAGATGTTACTCTATCGAAAAAA